TCATCTGTATATTAATTTATTCATTTTTATGTATACAGGAATATTATATTCAATTGTGCTCTTACACCACAGTATTTTTTTTTGCTCTACACATTCAGAGAGACTTCTACAGTAACCAACTATAGAAATGATCTCTGGAGTATATAGTCTTCACCACAGCACTTACATTGCTATATTCTCTATCTTTAAAAATAATTCCTATAAGAATTATTAATGAATGTAGCCCCTATTATTTTATTTAATTGAATCATTCATTGTGCTATGATAGTCTGGTTATTATCATGAAAATGAATGTGAGTAGTTTAGGAACGTCGTGGTGGAGAATATTTAAAAGTCTTATAAAATAAGGTTATCTTAGAGTAAAGAACAGCCATGTTGTCTCCCAACACGATTTATGCCAAAAAAATTTTTTTTTAAGTACAAATGCAAGTTCAGGAAGATATGACATTTCAGTGGGGATTATACAGGCTAATGCTATTTTCTTTGTACAGTACTCAGTGAATTACTTTGATCTGGGAGAAATCCAATCTAGATTTCTGTTCTCTCTCACTTTGGCATTTAGCACTGATTTTTACAAGGCTGCATGATAAAGAGAGTTCCCCCTGTCAGAAGACTTAGATGAAAATCAGCATTCTTTCACCCTAGATTTCCATATGGCCAAAGGAAAAAAGAGAAAATTCCTTCTGGACCACATTTGGATTTCTGTCACTACGATGAGAGATTCCACGCAGGGAACAAATGGAGAATGTTCAGACAGACAAATTATACAAGTTTATTCTTCCCGGAGGCAAAAAAGATAAATTAACTAATACAACCTAAGTAAATTGACTTTTGATTTCCTTTCTTCTTCATGTTTTCTTTTTCAAGCCCAAGATGAAGATGAAAGTATTGTTCTTGTTGACAACAAATGTAAGTGTGTCCGGGTAACTTCCAGAATCATCCGGAACAGCGACGATCCCAACGAGGACATTGTGGAAAGAAACATCCGAATCATGTAGGTCTCTCCTGTTGTGCTCTCCACAC